CGCCATCGCGAAGCCCAAGAGCTCGTCGCACATGCCAAGGGGAACAGTCTGCGGACGCGTCCAGCGTCCAGCAGCCCACACGCTGTTGAGGAATCCCATGAAAGGCCTCCTGAACTCCGCTGCCCTGGCGCACCTGCCTAGGATCATGAGCATGCCCTGTGACGAGAGGCCCTGCCTGCCCATGCCCCACAGGATGAACGCCAGCAGCTGGTGCAGCTTCTCGGTCGTGACTCCGACCCGGCCGACGGCCCCGTCAAGACCCGCGCCCATCCGCTCCAGGACCAGCGCGCGGTGCTTGGCCTTGCCGGGGGCGACGCTGATCCCCGAGCGGCCGTAGGCGGCCCTCTGCTCCTCCTGCGCGCAGCTCATCGTGCCGAGGAGCTCCGCGACCATCGCGTTGGGCACCACCTCGCCATGGTCCCAGTCGTCGATGTAGTACTGGATCCACTGCTGCTCGAGCTCCTTCGACTTGAACGGAAGCGGCCGGTCCTTGCGCCACTCGAGCTCTGCGGGAAACCCCGCAGCGAGGGGGCGAGAGCCGAACCCGAGGCGCCTGTGGCAGTGCTGAAACACCGTGACCGCGTTGATCCAGCCCATCGGGATGACGCGCAGCGCGAGGTGAGTCTTCCCAGGACCCGGCACACCGATGAGCTCGTTCGGGATCGCCTCCGCGAGGGTCATGTATGGCTGCCAGGCCTCGGGCAGCTCGTAGCAGTAGAAAGCGGAGGCTTGGTCATCCGAGGACCAGAGCAGCATGTGGCCCTCTGGGAGCGGGATGGCGACCCACGAGGGCGACGCGCTAAGGGTCCCGATGTCATCCCTCATGATGCGCTGGTAGCTGTTGGCCGGGACCATGTTGATGATTAACCGCTGGACGCACGCCTGCCCAGGTGACGGCGTGCCTCCCTTGGCGACCCCGAACGCCCCCGCAAGCACCTTGCGGTTCCCGACCTTGAAGATGCGGTCGTCGGCGATCGGCGCCGCCAGCCCCAGCTCGACGAGCTTGGTCCCGATGCGGTACCACTCCTGCTTGGACGTGACCTGGATCGCTGCCCGCGGGACCTCTGCAGGCCACTCATCTCGTGGGAGCAAAGCCAGCGTGGGGTCGGCAAGCCAGGCGCCCACCTGAGCGTCCGCGATGTCGACCGCCTTGACCGAGGCGGCAACGCCGCGCGCGGGGAGGCCTGGCATGATGCCCGCGAGCGAGAGCGGCAAGGCGCGGGCCGTCTCCTCGCCCCCGTAGGAGACGGTCCTCGACGAGATGACCCGGTCCCAGTCCGGGAGCTCGAAGGCTGTGGCGGCATCCTGAACGAAATACTCACAGGCCTCCTGCACAATGCCGAGCGCACTAACCTGGCTAGCCGTGGGCCGCCTCGCGGCGACGGTGGGACTGCGCATGTGCCCCGTGTACTGGTAGTTCAGGCTGAAGACCACGAGCTGGGCCCACCCCTGCGCCGTGGCGGCGTCCACCTCGCAGGTCTCCGGCAGCTGCTGGTGCAGGTACCAGGCGGCGCGGTACCTCTCGAAGAGTGGGGCGTCGGGCAGTGGTAACGGCAACACCTCGCGCAGCCGCGCGAAGCTGGCCGTGGGGTCTGGCGAAGTGCACATCTTACGAACGTACCGCCCGATCGCCCCTGGCGAGCCGTGCACCGCCTCGTGGACTGCGAGGGCCAGCCTGAACTTGGAGCTGACGCCCGTGCCCACCTCGGCTAGCATCTGGCGCCACCGCCGAGCCTGCGAACTGCCGCGTAGCTGCCGCTCAGGCGGGCGGAGGGCAGGCGGGGGCGTGCTGTGGGCCGCGGCCTTAGCCGTGTCGGCCCTCACGCTCGAACCCAGGCCGTCCTGCGAGCAGTGCCCGTGCCGCGGCTCTTCCCCGTCTTGCCTTTGCCGCGGCTCTTGGCAGCCAGCGGCCTCCCGATGCGCGCCTTCCACGCTGCCTGGGTCTCGCCCTCGCGCCTCGGGTGGGCCGCCTTGTGCTGCGAGAAGCTCCGGCTCGCCGCCGCCTCCGCTGGTGGCACGCGGGCGGCGGCTGCTGCGTCGAGGTCCCCCTCCGAGTCGCTCAGGAGCTGGACTGACCGCGTGGGACTGCGGCTGGTCCTCCGCGCCGCTGGCGGCTTCTTCTCGGCGGGGGGAGCTGCGGGACCGTCGCCTGGAACGCGTCCGGCAAGGATCCTCATCGCCTCGGCCGATCCCGAGACTGGCGTCCCGGTAGCAGGGGGCGGGGGGCGCGCCTCCGCGTGCCCATGGCCTGCAGGTGCCGTCCCCCCCTGCAACGGAGACGGCTCCCGGCCAGACCCCTAGCCCGGCCTGCGGTCTGCAAGCCGCTGGCGGAGTTCGGCGACCTTCAGCTCCCGGGCCTCGACCTTCTCGGCGGCGTTCTCCTCGTCCAGAGAGGCGCCTGATGGAAGCTGTTCCTGTGCGACCAGCGTGAGCCACCGTGCTGACCGCCAGTTCCCGTCGCGGATGGCCATCGTCCGCGCCTTGAACTCCTGCATGAGCAGATCCGCAGTCTCGACGACCTCTCCGCGCAGGATGCCGTCGAGCGCCAGCCCCAGCGTGCGGAGGACCCGCACCTCGTCTGTCCCCAGCGTGCGCGGCGGGTGAGCAACGAAGAACACCGTGTTCAGGAACTGCGTGACGCATGGGGCCAGAGGGTCGGCTTCGCCCGCGGACAGCTGCTGGGTGAACTGGCTGCGCAGGTGGCCGAGCCCATTCTCGAGGAGAGCACCAGGCCGGTGCCGAGCGATCCCGCGGAACAAGTCGCGCTTGATGTTCACGCCCTGGTAGCGATCGCGGCCCCCGAGGCGCTCCGTGTCGCTCTCCGCGCCGTCCTCCGCGTCGTCGTCGTCGCGCCCCAGGAGCGCAGCGGTCAACGCTGACGCCAGCCTGCTCTTCGATCCCGAGGCGCTGGCGCGCGCAGGGGCAGCAGCGGCGGCTCGGCCAGCTACCACCTGCGCCAGGCGCTCGCCCACGGCCCCTGCTGGGCGCGCGGCATTCTTGGGCGTGCCCTGCCTCGGCCCACCACGAGCTGCCTTGCCCCCGAGCCGCGCCAGCCGCGCCTCGAGCTCGGGGTCCTCGGCGGTCTCCTCGAGCCCAGCAAGCTCCTGGTCGAGCGGGCTCGTATCTCCTGGTCCGCCAGGGGTCTGGGTGCCCTCCACCTCGCGGGCTCGCTTGCGCGGTGGCCCGCGAGGCTCCTCCTCGTCCTCGTTGGCCCCGTCCCCGAGCGGCCATCCGCCGAGCTCTCCAGGCATCGGCTCGGCCGAGGGCGCGTCGGCCAGCACAGGCGCTCCAGGGTCCGCGGCCGGGCAGATGAGCTTCGCCTGCTCGCGGGCCACATCGCGGGGGTCCACCACCTGCCACACGTCCAAGTGCTCGACTACTGCGCCCACTGGGGCGACCGCCCCGCACTCGGCGGCGCTGCACTTGCAGAGGTGGAAGACCGTGGCCAGGGGGCGCGCGCCCTGCTGCCCGGAGGAGGCTGCATACCATGAGAAGTACGGGTCGCTGGCGCCCACGTGCCGCCCCTTGAAGAAACGGCCGAAGGCGTCCGCTTGGTAGGCGACCTCCACTTCGAGCATCTCGACGCCCTGCGGCGCCCCGTCGTCGTCCTTGACGCGCGCCAGGACCCGTGCACCAGCCCACAGCGGCAGCCCCGGCACCAGGTCGCCGTTCAGCGCCGCGTCGAGCCAGGCCCCTCTCGGGAAGGGCCACCCGGCGGCACCCGGGGCTGCCCGCTCCATCGGGCTCCTCGCCAGCAGCGGCGCGGGAGAGGGGCGACCCGCGCCCGGGATCCTCGTCTCCCAGCCAGGTCTTCGCTCCCCTCAGCCCGCAAAGTCTGCCAGCGAGGCTGATCAGAATCAGTCGTCCGAGCGTGGCCTGCACGCGGCCGCGCTCGGCGCGGCGAACTTTCAGTAGACAGAGTGGCTCGGCAGCGGCCACAGACGGGCGGCACCGCCCGGTGACTCCGCTGCCTGTCTCGAGCCAACACAGCTACGGCAGATGGATGAAACTCAACCGTTATCCATCAACGGCGTCGCGCACGCTCAGGTGGACTCCGCATAGGTTTCCTTGGAAGGTTCATATATATATATATAAGTATATGTTTATGTATATGTCTGTACAACTATATGCACGTATGTATGTATACATATGTGTATATGCATGCATGCATGCATGCATGACTACATACATACATACATACATACATACATACATACATACATACATACATACATACATACATACATACAGACATACATACATACATACATACATACATACATACATACACACATACATACACACACATACATACACACATACATACACATACATATATTACATATGCACATACATACCTACATACATACATAACAAACATACATACACACATACATACATACATACATACATACATACATACATACATACATCCAAACATACATACATACATACATACATACATATACACACATACATACATACATACATACATACATACATACATACATGCATACAGACATACATACATACATACATACATACATAAATACACACATACATACATACATACATACATACATACATACATACATACATACATACATACACACATACACACACAAACACACACATACACACATACATACATACATACATACATACATGCATGCATGCATGCATGCATGTATGCATGCATGCATTTAGATGTATGCATGTATATATATATATATATATATATATCATGAAGTAGGGAGGCGGATTGAGCAAATTGGGTCCTGCTCCTCCCAGAGAATAACCAAACACAGCAACAGTAGATCGATTCTCAAAGTAGGAAGTAGATTGGGATCGGGGGATCCAAAAACAACTATCTACTTTCAACGACCGACGTGCACGGGGAAAAACAGGAGCAAGGCCCTGGCCTGGGGGGGTGGGGGGCAAGGGGGGGGATGGGAGGCCGGTCGTGGACCCACGGGCGACACTACGAGATGCCCCCACGCCTGCTGCGGCTGCTGCCGGGAGAGTACCACCACGGGGCCAGGCGTTTGCGCGAAGACCTCAAAGGGCGCTGCCGCATCTGTCGCTTGCAGAGTCCGGGCAGACCGACGAAAGGGCGCACGACGCTCCCCAAACCTCCTCGGCGTCCTCCTCCGTCCTCGCTTCCTCCATACTGCTCATCCTGGTCATCCTCGTCCACCTCCGACGCCACAACCATTCCATAATTACCCATTCCTCCTTCGCCCTGCTCCACCATCATCTTTGTCATCAACTGTGCACGCGTGACTTTTTACATCCGCTTTCATCCTCGTATTCATACAGTGGTTCCGTCTCATCATCCTGTCGTTAGTCAGAGCCGACGTCCTCCCCTACTTCCTGCTGCTCCTCTTCCTCCCTATCCCGCCGTTGTCGTCCTCCTCATCTTCCGTCCCCCATCTCCTCCACCCCATCTCCCCTGTCACACCTCATTCCTCTCCTGTCCATGTCCGAACTCTCCCTTCCCCTACCACCCATCTTCCCCTCCCCCCCCCAACACACTCGTTCAACATGAGTACTATTAAGTCCTCTCCCCTGACATTGTCCAGGGTGTCCCCCCCTCTCGCAGAATGTGTTTTCGACTTCGGGGTCAAACGTCTTCCCCCCTTTGGAAGATGCGGCGGGCGTAAACGTGCGACGCGCTACTTATATCCAACCCCACTCCGCTCGACCGTGTGTTCCCTCCCCCACCTCCCAGTCGACGTCCTCCTTATTCCTCCTCTTGCTTTTCCTCCTCCTCATCCCCATCCGTACAATGGCGAAATGAACGCCGCCAAACCTCATCACCTTAAACACGCGAATGAAGGAGAACGTCTGGGATGTCCCACGGAAAAACAAGTATACGAACCTCCATGCATAACTACATTTACCCTTGGCTAATCGCACAAAAAAACTTATGTCCCCACAATCACAATATCAAATCCAAGTCTAATCGAACGGTGTGTATGACGCATGCGTACTGAGATCATGGACGTGCTGCTGACGTAGTGGAAGTCCAGCCAGTTGGGAACCATACTTGGAGAAACTAGGTGGTGGTTCTTGATGGCTGGGCGTTGGCAAATCCATTATGGTTGACACTGGGGGTGGGCGTTGGCGATCAAAGGATGCGATGTGGGGGTACAGGAAAGCGTCCATGAGGGCAAAAGGAAAAAACTGCGAAAAGGGGCGAAACGGATGGCCAGAGAGGAACGCGCACGAGTAATATTGACACAACGTGTGCCTAGGAACGGTGAGGCGGAAATTGTGTGAGGAGAGTTGCAAGCCAGGGTTAAGGGCGAGCGCGTGATAAAGGTGCTGGTTGTGCGTGTTGGGGGGCCAAACCGAAAGATAATGAGGATTGCCGTCGGAAAAAAACAGAAGAATGGAAGACGAGGGCTCATTAGGCGGATGATCCGCCCGTCACCCCGCTTTCCATCCTCGACAAACCTTAGACTCAGCCAAGTCTCAATTGTCCTCCATGCCTATGAAAAACCATCATCGGCGAGCCAGTGAATCAACGCTCGTATCCAATCCACAATTCGTGGTAGACCGACCAGCCACCCCTCTATGAATGTACTCAATCATACCCGTCGCCCCCTGCCCCTTTTTCTCTAGAATGGGAGGGGCAGTTGTGCAAGTGGCCCATTGAGACGAGACGAACGAAGCGGCCAATCGGACGACGGAGAGCAAGGACGTCGACGATCCCGAAGCAAGGCTGCCAGGGCTGGCGTTCGGCGGATGCAACGTTCGTGGCGGGCTCGCAGGGAGAGGGATGATGATGAGGAGGAGGAGGAAGAGGAGGCGCGACACAAATACGGTAATCATGGAGCAGCGGTTGAAAAACGTCAACCGGCGCGCACGGTCCAAAACGGGGGCCAATGAACGAGGAGGTGAGCCCAAAAAGACGTCGGTGAGAGCGGTTGGAGGAGCACGGTTGGAGCAGGAGTTTGGGGAGGACGGTTGAAGAGGACCGCGCAACAAAAAAAACAAAAACGGCAAGGAGTCGAGTTGGACGGATGGGACGGGCGGGGGGGCAGTTGGGATGAGGGCCCAGGCGGATCATAGCTTACGGTGTAACAGTTTCCCTTGTGCTGCCAGGCCATCATCCATTAAAGTGTTGCGACTTGTGTCGGTTCAGGAGTTGTACAGTTGTGTAGGTCTATAGATATCGGAGTTGTACACTTGTCTAGACATGTAGAATTCGATGTTGTGCGAGTTGTCAATCATATCGCATTCGCGGCAGCTAAAGCGATACCACTTCCTGTACCACGCAATTTGCTAGCAAAATCAACACTGCTGAACATGTAGTAGAATGCTGTGAATTAGATATGAGGTTCGGTGTTGTCGTCATCATGTGCGTTGGTTTGGCAGTGTAGTCGTGTCAATGCAATGATGGCGGTGTTGATGCGTGCTACAGCGTCTGCTGGGAGCAGTAGAATGTTGTCTGCTTTGCGTTCAGGGTAATCATGGCAGGGTACAGCTGGAGTTGTATGGAGTCGGAGTTGTAATGGAAACGTACGGCGTACGGGCGTTGAGTAGACTAGGGAGGGCAAGGGGCGGATATGTGATGATAGACCAAAGTGAGTAGGACAAAGGGAATATGGGGGCGACAAAAAAAGGGGAGAGGGGGCGGGGACGCTCTGTCTGAACCTCCCTCCCCCTCCCTCGTTCCTCATATCTCCCTCCTCCCCCCCCTCCTCCTCTTACCTCGTACCGATGTTGTGACCAGGTGGCCAAACGAAAGGTATGATTGGGATAGGCGGCCAGCCTTTCTCCTCCTCCTGGCCTCACCTCCCCATCCCCCCCCCGCCTCATCATCCGAATACTCATCCTCACTCTCCATGCCCTCCTCCACCATGAGCCAGAAAACCTCAGGCCCATGAGGCCCTGTGCCCTCCACCGGGGGTGGAGGAAGAGGATGGGGAGGGGGTTCGCGAAGGGGGCCTGGAGAGGAAGGGAATGGGAGGGGATATCGGATAGCAGCGTGAGCGCAAGGCGGATCGGTCCTTGTCGAAACAATCCGCCCCGGGAAGGGGGCGGGCGGCGACGACCGACGATGAGCGACAGGGATGGCAGCCAGTGTGAACGGAGAGGGAGAGAAGAGGATGAGAGGAGGGTGGGGCGAGTGAGGGAGAAGGGCGTGGAACAAAACGGAACGGAAGACCCGAAGGGGATGGATGGATGGACGGCGCGCTCATCAAGGCGGCGACTGAACGCTAAACGAATGAAATCCTTTAGGGCTCAAGGCGGTGACTGAAAATGGGGCCCCAGGGTGGGGGGGGGCTGGAAGGTGAAATCCCAGGATCGAGAAGGAGGAAGAGGAGGAAGGGCCACGAACCGTGTGAGGGGTGCGCTAAAAAAGTAGTTCACTGAATTAACTAACTCCAATGCCCTGCCTGCTCGAAAAAAACGCATGCACCATCAAAACCCACTCGGTCTCTATGGCCATGCCACACGTTCCTGATTCGGGAACGGCTAAGAAAATGAGAATCCCATGGCCCTGCCGCACGGTCGTAACGTGGGCAAACTGAATTGGTGACAATCCCACAGCCCTGCCACACGCTCGTGATTGCGGAAGCTGGTGTGGTGAAGCCACCATGGCCATGCTCAGCGTTTTTGATGTTGTTGTTGGTCAAAAACTATATGATAGCAACTTCGATCCCCGCAACTTTTCCGTGGATGATAAACTTCGGCCTCCGCGGCTTCCCCAAAGATAAATCCCTGTGGTCTGGGATAACAACATAGAGGAGTTGAAGGGGGGGGGGTACTGCATTATCGCCCGCACTCGGTTACTCCGTTTTTGGAGAAAAAAAGAAAAACTTTTAAAAACGTCCCCATACTATTTTTCAACTGTTTTTGAATCTTCCTCCTGTAAGGGGACACGCCCGATTTAAACCCAACACCTGAAGCAAAAGGGTGACCAGAGAGGCCCATGCCCCGAGGAAGGCGCGCCCCCGCCCGGCAGGGGCCCACGTCGGCCCCAGATGCCGCGTCGGCAGCTCTTTATCCTTAAGTTAGGAGGCAACTACTGGGAGGTCTTCGTGGGAGAAATTCAAAGAAGATTACGCCCCATTGAGGGGCGGCTACGCCGGATTAGGCCTCAGATTAAGCGGGATTAAACCGGATTAAGCAGGATTCAGCCGGATTAAGCGGGATCGAGCCGGATTAAGCGGGACTTCGGACCAGGGCGAAATCAGAATTTGACCTCCCAGGAGTTGCATCCGAACTGAAAGGGCGTCTTCTCGGCAGCGGCAGCCAGCCCCGCGCCACCCCCCACCCCTCGATCGCGCCTCGAAGGGTGGAGGACTTCGGATCGATGACCCAAGCGTTTCTCAATGTCTTCGCGCTCCGGATGCCCGTCCCGGATCCCTGGGCCGGCAAAAATGCACTGCGGGCGAAGAACTGGCCGCTGGAATGGTTCCCGGGAGTGGGTCTGGGGGGGGCGATATGGAATGGACTCAAGGGTCCATGGCCGAAGGGTCGAGGACCGACCCGTGTCAACGTAGCCTCCGGAGATTTCCAGGGACCTACACTTCCTGAGGCCGTCGGGGAACATCGTCGTCGTCTTCCTCGTCCTCGTCCTCGTCCTCGTCCTCGTCCTCCTCGTCCTCGTCGTCGTCGTCGTCGTCGTCAGTCGTCTTATCGTCGTCGTGTCACCGTCGTGTCGCCGTCGTTTCGCCCTACTCCTGTTTCTCCCATATGCGAGTGCGCGTATGTGAGTCCTTTGTGAAAAGTACGCCGCGGTGGCGCGCATCTGGTAAATTGAGACACATACGCTGCGGATTGGTACAGTCGACTCGTGTAAGAAGGACACACGATAAGGATGCAAGAGCCTTGGAAGGCCATGCCGACAACACTTTGCGGGCGGGGCGCGGCCAGTCAAAGCGGCCAAGGATGAGCCGAAGGGTATGGATGCAAGGGTAACGTTGGAAAATCGTTCATCCTCACTATGCGGGTTGATTGTAGTCGTCATTATGTTCCCAGCCCTGGCAAGTAGTCGTCATTGCGTAGTCGTCATCAGGTTGATTGTAGTCGTCATTGCGTGGTCGTCATTGTGTTGATTGTAGTCATCATTGTGCTGCGTGGCTCACGCCCTGAGCGTTCGTCTGGCCAGCGGTCGGCAGCGGGCAACATTGGAGAAATGCTCATCCTTGCGATGCATATTGACTGTAGAGTTAGATCGGGCGTGTCCGCCTACAGGCGAGTTCTGGACGAAACATGCAGACTAGTCAAAAAAATGCAAAACATATGCTCGAACATACTCGAAAAAACGTCAGACGATTGTTTTAACTATTTTTGAATGTCCCTCCCCTCCTCACTCCTCCGCCCTGACTCCTCACAGCTCTGTATTCTACAAAGTAGAGCAGGGATGTGAAAAAGACCTCTCCAGAGACAGTATCCACCTCCTTTGCTTGTCCTTGTCTGCTGAGACCTGCCAGCCACGCCACCACCCCTCGCCTTTAAATAACCCCCGCCATTCCGACGAGCTCCCAAACAAGCAGCTCGAAACACAATGGGGTGTGGGTAGAAAGTCCTCGGCTAGAGGCATCCCCATCAAGAGCCATCTCACTTAGCGTGTCCTTGTCCGCTGAGACCTGCCTGCCAACCGTGCCAGCCCACCCCGTATCCCCAAGGAAGCGCCAGGCCGACCGTGACGCGCCCAGGCCTCCCGACGTGGTCCTTCGCCAGATCGGGGACGCGGAAACGGAGCTGAATCGCGAGTATCTGTTGCTCGTGCTGCTGTACACGGCAATCACTATACCTCGCCTGCATGCTCGTCCCGTGCTGCTCCAATGCTTGCCTGCCCGTGAAACGTCAGTTCTTCCTGATTCCCATCGCCTTGGCCAGCACCCACTGGGCGCATTCTGTCCAGCATACAATGCACCTGGACCGATCCCTCAGTATAAGCCTTAGTTTGCACATCCAGTGCAATCGCCGATTGGTTAACGTTAGTCAAGCGTCTGGTGTCTACATGTTCATGTAACTCTAGTAGTGGCGATGCATGCGTGCACGCTAAGAGGAACTAAACTCCCATCAGCCCTCTGGGCGACAAGTGGTCTAATGATGTCGTTCTTTCCTCTTCCACAGCCCTTCTTCCCCTTGGGATTTCTCGCTTTTTCCTATTAGTATGCACCCCCTCCACCACCTGGCCGGCATGCGGCCACCCCTAAACCATGACAACCCCATGAGGGCCCCCCCGCCATCCATGTCAAAAACTAGCCTGGCGAACGACCCAACCATATGCACTTGTGAGCACCGTCGTTGGAAGCACCGCATTCGGAGGAGCTCCCCCCTATAGAGCCACGAAACGTGTGAGGGGTGTGCCATCATGTATCTGGCGGATGCGTGCGAACGCAGCCACTGGGGCCGCCGGTGGAACTCCCTATGGTGCCGCGAAACGTGTGATAGGTGTGCCGAAACGGATTTGGTGGGCGCGTGCGAACGCAGCCAGTGGTGCCTTCGGTGGAGCCCCCTGTGGGGCCACGAAACGTGTGAGGAGTGTGCTGACATGGGTGTGCGTGACGCATGCGGGCGGTGGCACTAGGGCTTTGGTTGGAGCTCCCCGTGGGGCCACGAAACGTGTGAGGGGTGTGCTGAAATGGGTGTGCGAGACGCGAGCGGGCGGTGGCACTGGAGCCTTCGGTGGAGCTGCCTATGGGGCCACCAGACGTGCGAGGGGTGTGCCGAAATGAGTGTGCGTGACGTATGCGGGCTGTGGCACTGGGGCCTTCGGTGGAGCTCCCTATGGGGCCACGAAGCGTGTGAGGGGTGTACCGACATGGGTGTGCGTGACGCACGCTGGCGGTGGCACTGGGGCCTCCGGTGCAGCTTCCTATGGGGCCACGCAACATGTGAGGAGTGTGCTGACATGGGTGTGCGTGACGCATGCGGGCGGTGGCACAGGGACCTTCGGTGGAACTCCCTATGGGACCAGGTGGCGAGTGAGGGGTGTGCCGAAACGGGTGTGCGTGACGCATGCAGGCGGTGGCACTGGGGCCTTCGGTGGAGCTCCCTACGGGGCTACGAAACGTGTGGGGTGTGCTGGCATGGGTGTGCGTGACGCACGCTGGCGGTGGCACCTGGGCCTCCTGTGCAGCTTCCTATGGGGCCACGAAGCGTGTGGGGGTATGCCCAAATGGGTGTGCGTGGCGCATGCGGGCGGTGGCACTGGGGCCTTCGGTGGAACTCCCTATGGGACCAGGTAGCGAAAGAGGGGTGTGCCGACACGGGTGTGCGTGACGCATGCGGGCGGTGGCACTGAGGCCTTCGGTGAGGCTCCCTATGGGGCTACGCAACGTGTGAGAGGTGTGCCGAAAATTGTGTGCGTGACGCACGCTGGCGGTGGCACAGGGGCCTTCGGTGGAGCTCCCTGTGGGGCCAGCAAGCGTGTCAGGGGTGTGCCGACATGGGTGTGCGTGACGCACGCGGGCGGTGGCACTGGGGCCTTCGGTGGAAGTCCCTATGAGGCCACGAAACGTGTGAGGGGTGTGCTGGCATGGGTGTGCGTGACGCACGCTGGCGGTGGCACTGGGGCCTCTGGTGCAACTTCCTATGGGGTCACGGAACGTGTGAGGGGTGTGCTGACATGGGTGTGCGTGACGCATGCGGGTGGTGGCAAAAGGGCCTTCGGTGGAGCTCCCTAAGGGGTTTAATAACGGGTGAGGGGTGTGCCGACATAGGTGTGCGTGACGCATGCGGGCGGTGGCACTGGGGCCTTCGGTGGGGCTCTCTATGGGGCCACGAAACGTGTGAGGGGTGTGCTGACATGGGTGTGCGTGACTCATGCAAGCGGTGACATTAGGGCCTTCGGTGGGGCTCTCTATGGGGCCACGAAACCTGTGAAGGGTGTGCTGAAATGGGTGTGCGTGACACAAGCGGGCTGTGGCACTGGGGCCTTCGGTGGAACTCCCTATGGAGCCAGGAAGCGTGTGAGGGGTGTGCCGTAATGTGTGTGCGTGACGCATGCGGGCGGTGGCACTGGGGTCTTCGATGGAATTGTTTATGGGGTCACGAAATGTGTGAAGGGTACATCGGGCTGCTGAAATAAAGAAATAATGAACGAAGCCCCTCTGTGGCTTCAAAACAGCCTGGGTGCACGAGAAGGGCTAGAGGAACAACCATGGAAGGACGTAAGGATCATCGAGCCCCTTCCGAATGCAAACTGTTCCTTATTTCAGCGTCTTGGCTGTATGCCGAAACGGGTGTGCGTGACGCACGCGGGCGGTGGCACAGGGGCCTTCGGTGGAACTCCCTATGGGGCCAGGTAACGAGTGAGGGGTGTGCAAAAAATGGGGTGTGCGTGACGCATGCGGGCAGTGGCACTAGGGCTTTGGTTGGACCTCCGATGGGGCCACGAAACGTGTGAGGGGTGTGCCGACATGGGTTTGCGTGACGCATGCGAGCGGTGGCACTGGGGCCTTCGGTGGAGCTCCCTATGGAGCCAGGAAACGTGTGAGGGGTGTGCCGAACATTGTGTGCGTGACGCATGCGGGCGGTCGCACTGGGGCCTTCGGTGAAGCTCCCTACGGGCCACGAAACGTGTGAGGGGTTTGCCGAGTTTGTTGACATGCGGAGAGCAGAGGCAAGAAGGGTGAGGAAGGAGGAGGGGGAGAAGGAAGGAGGCGGGAGGAGGAAGAGAACGCGGGGCGCCGTCTCTTCAGATCGAGGACCCAACACCACAGGATGGTTGGGAAGGGAATCATACAAAACGCACTCTGCCTCCACATTTGGAGCATGCGCGGCCGCCCCGCGACCATGTTTATTTGTATTTTACAAGGGCATCTGAGGTGCCAGCAGCTCCCACCTGCCTTCTGGGCGAAGGTGGTCGACCGGCTGGTTTGACGCATCAGTGGTTGCTGCCCTTCTCGCACGTTTGTTTCTCATGCGTGGATGGGGGGGGAACGCGCGGTGGCCAGCAGCCGCAAACGTGCGCCGGGGCGTGCACAACTAATGGTGTAGCAACAGTTGCGGCGCACGCAGGTACGGTGGAGCCCCTGTTGATTCCCAGTGGCTGGCGCACCTGGCGCGGCTGGAGCACGTGGAACACTGGGCGCACGTGGAGCACGTGCCGCAACCTGGCGCGCCTGGCACGCTTGGGCCTCAAAGGTCTGGTGCGTCTGGAACCCGTGGCGTCTGCGGCGTTCTTACGCGATATGCTGACTCACAGGTGTTACGTGTTGGGAGGGCGGATGGGAGTGAGCAAGACGGCTTGTGGGCGAGTGGGAAGCTTGACCCCTCCCCCTACCCCCCTCCCATGGACCTGGACGGGGGGGGCGCGAGGTGTCAGAGGGTCCTTTTTCGCCCAAGATGGCTCCAAGAGTGCCTGAGAGAGCCAAAGATAGCCTGCAAGATCGCTCAAGATAGCCCAACATGGCTCAAGATAGCTAACAACATGCCCCAAGAGACCCAAGAGGGCCTCTAGACGGTTTCAGGTGCTTTTTGGCGGTGACCCCTCAGGACCTCCCCGAGAAGCTAAAACCGTTAAAACAACAAAAGGGAAATCACTGATTTGTGCCGTCTCGCCTTTTCGCTTTGGCCCAAGAGAGCTTCAAGAAGGGCCCAAGAGGCCCCCAAGACTGCCCCAAGAGCGTCCTAGATCGCCCCAAGAGGGTTCCAAGAGCGCCCCAAGAGGCTAATTCGATGGCCCCAGAGGGGGGAGGCAAATCGAGGACCTCCCTTCCTTTGATCGATGGTCTCCAAGATGGCCCCAGGAGGCGCTCCATAGCTCCCAAGGGGGCCCAAAGAGAGCCCTAAGAGAGCCCCAGAGGGCCCCATGAGGGCCCGAGGCGCCCCAAAAGAGCCCCGAGAGGACCCCAAGATCCCCCAACAGGAGGGCCCCTAGATGCCCCAAAAGAGCTCCAAGCGGACCCCAATCTCCCCCAATACAGCCCCGTAGCTCCAAGAGGGCGTCTGATACTCCAAGATAGCCTCCAAGATGGCGCAACACCCTCCTTCCTCTCCTCTCCTTGCATGCTCTGTTTCGCTATGTGTGTCTCTTCGTCCCTTTTCCCGTCAGCTCTCATGGGCAGGGCTCCTGAATGGGCTGTTTTGGATTTGCGAAGCGTAAACAATCTCCTAATTTTCCTTTCCCGTTCACACTCAACAAGAACAGTGCATGCGCGACAGAGTGTGTCTGCTCCAATCAGACAGGAGGGGCCGGGCCACTCACAACCGAGATCACCAGACTCTCAGGGGGCAGGGGGCGGAAGACGACGTTGACGAGACTGAAGAGGGGCTCAGCCACCCACACGCCTCGGTGCTTTCGAGCGGCGGGGCAGAAGAGCAGAATACGCACTCGAGACTCGAGGGCGAGGGGGTGCGGGGCGCGACGCAACACAATCGACTACGCCTTCCTGCTGGAGGCGCGAAGGCAGTCCCTCCTCCCGGCCTCTTCTGCATCCTCCTCCACGTGCGCCTCCCAATCCTCCTCCGCCAGGACACCTGGTCGCGTTTTGATTTTGCGCTGCACCAGGGCACTTGGAAAGCGCATGTGACTTCCCCACACTAGCAATACTGCGGCGCTGGACCCCGATAATAATGGGGCGCACGGGGCATTTTTGTTACTTGCCCGAGCTACACCCTCAACCCTGGAGTGCATGGCAACCCTGATGCGCTCACAAATTGCAAACGCATCGATCACACCGATGCGATAAATGCTAGTGATATTCACATGCGGAATTCGATGCGAACCGGGGCAGGGGGAGAGAGAGAGAGAGAGAGAGAGGAAAAAAAAGGACCCATAGGCTAAAAGCAAGAACCAGTCAGGTGAACAGGCGGAAGAGGAGGCAATGCCAGCAATGGGTCTTCACATAACGAAAAGAGAAATATGTACCAGGACGAGCCCAAACGGAACAGGGACCCAGCTGGGTGAGAGGGGCGGAAGGAAGAGGTGGACCAAAGTAAAACCAGCACACACATGCAAAATACCCTCTCATACCAAGAACCCTCCTTATAAGCCAACATATCTAAAACAAAATGAGCCCAGTGGACCCATGGACCCACATGGTACGAACCCTAACTACTTGGACGATCGTATGGATATTCGACCAGGGGATCAACTGAGAAAGACGAAGTTGAAAGTGGCTCGCCATCCATCACTCAAGCTGCAAGGTCCTACCACATATGCAAGCATCATGCTACAGCCAGAGTCTGAACATGTGCCAACAGACAAGGTCTC